ACACGTGGGAGCAAGTGACCGCGAACACGTGGGCGCAAGTAACGGTGCTACCTTTTGGACACCCCCGAAAGAGACCCTATTTGTAATTGTTGTTTTCCCGTCGGCTTTGGTTGTATTTCTTCGGGCCTGCGTGCATCCCGGCAGGCTACTGCTGGATGGCCGCTACTACAACTTCGAAGAGAGACGCCCGGCAGCACCTTCGTTTGGAGTTTTGGGGCTTCACAGCTTTATTAGGACTTAGGGCTTGTTAGAGTCCAGAGTGTAGTGGCTCATCTTCAAGCGGAATAGTACGCTGCCCTCTCTTCACCATGTCGCCCATCCTCGACATCCCAAGAAAGCACCTTCTCAAAAACTCAAGTAGTCGTAGGATACATAAATCCCCCAGCCATAACCTACTCGCCCCTACAAGACTCCAAGGTTTTATGAGATATCGGGGTGACATGTTCAGGCCGTGTCTCCCAGATGGAGCCCGCATGCAAGAACGATAAAGTCCTGAACCCCAATACCCTCTGTTTAACACCCATCCCTGACCGTAGAAGGGAAAGCCTACGGACGTAGCTTGTATTTACAACCCTTAAAACCGCCCGGAAGCCGCTTCGACGAAGCCCCCACGACCCAACAGCCCCAAAGCTCAGCATGAACTGACACGAAGTTGCGATGGCTCCTGTTGTACCATATCCGTGTTCTGAGAGGATGGTTCAGTGAACCAACCTTGGGTCTGCACAGGGCAATGGACCTTGGCCCCTTAATCCAAAAGCACGATCTGGATTTCCACTGCCGCGCAGCAACTCGAGGAGTGATGCGCGAGGAGTCGGCGAACGGCCCCCAGGGGCCACCGCAGCTTGACTGCACAGGACATCGTGAGGATTAGCCGTGTTCTAGAAATCGATGTTTTGAAGCTTCCCCGTGATAGTTGCGAGCAGTTCGTGCCATCAGCAGCAGTGTGCTCCTGTAGGCAGGTGGAGTGAAGAGGATACAACTCGAGACCCTGAAAGCTCGAGTTCTACATTGCAGCACATCAGTGATTGCCTTTTCTTGCCTGACTTGTTGCTTTATCGCTGCAGCTACCGATGGTGATCATGGTGATGACTAATGATGGTGAAGCTGATGATGACAGTGAGGACGAAGAGGACGACTACGGTACTGGTGATGAAGCTGATGATGACGGCTATAATTTGGCCCGGAAGGCTTGCTAGTCTTTGCAGCTGACTCCAAGGCTTCGGCTAACCGGCGCAGACATCACCATCAAGATCTCCTACACCAACAAGGCTGGTAAGGTTTTGCAGCTGGTGCAGATGGTCACAGCGGGTTGAAAGATGGGTTGGAAGTAGTGGTCATGATAAACATCAGCACCAGCAGCTGCAATGGCACCATGACAAGGATCATGATGAAGCATGAAGCTAACACCGGAGCGGTTGACGTAGTTACAGTACTTAGTCCTTGATGACGATGGCGGTTCGAAGGATGCGACGAGTAGCAAGAATCAGTGCGCTAACCCTGGCCGTTGCGATCGCAATAAACAGCATCGTACATTGAAGTAGCAGTGGTTGCAATACCAGCCATGTGTGCAAACGATGACTACAATGATACTGGCGATACTTCACCAAGCCAGAGAAGAAGACGACAGAAGAAGGAGAGACTGACTTTCTGCTGTCAGCTTTCAGTCCTTGCCCGGCCAGGGGTACTGCCGCATGGAGAAGGATTCGCCCAGGCTCTGGGTACCAAATACTCCCAACTCACAAGTCGGAGCCCTCAGAGACTGCTGGCTTAGGATTTAGGGTTTAGGGGTTCAGGTTTTTTAGGGTTTGGGGGGGCTGTCAGGTCTACACCGCAAGCCTTTCACAGTAAAGCCTTTTGATTTCGGTTTCAGGAGTTAGCGCAACTTCGGTGACACCATAGAGTACTAACCTGAAGCACCCTTATGCCTCTTTTGCCTCTGGACCGCCGAGGTCGCCTGCGTCACTGTTCGAGCCAAGAGGGGGTGGACGCAGAAGGATCGAAACGCAGCTGGTGGCCTCAGCCAAGGGCTTTTCTCTGTTGAGGTGCAAGGGTTTTTTGATATATATATATATATGTATATGCATATGCATATGTATATGTATATGTATATGTATATACAGCATACATGCACACACACATATACATACATACATACATACATACATACATACATACATACGTACATACATACATACATACATGCATGCATATCATAATTAGTTATGGGATTTAGAATTTCATGGTGAGCCTGATTTGCGAATGTTTGGGGGGTTCAGGGCTCCGGGAGGTTTGGTAAAGGGTTTTGGTCTTTTCGGGTCCGGGGTTTGGGGTTGGAGCCTTGCCCTCTCGCGAGGTCTTCAACGAAGATGGTGCCTTCTGGACGAGAACCTACTATGGCCTCAAGGCCGGCGAGACCATACATTATAGCATTATATCTCAGAATGTGTATGTGTATATATATATATATATATATATTTATGTACTTATTTATTTATTGAATATTATTTTGTATAATACATATCATATATGATACACTGTATATTCTATGTCATGCCTTAAGTGTGTTGTCGATTTCGTTCCAGTTGGTGGTTTTCTGAACCTACAGCAAGGTTGCCTGGCTTTTGCTGCGGGTTTTGTCCTTCAGCATCTAGATTTGGCCAGGATCGCATACTTTACTAAATCTCCAGCCTAACATCTATGCTGTGCTGCTGCTTCATTCCAGAAGATCCGCGCAGACATTGCTCTCTGCAATGTTCTGCACGCGACAGAGCTGTATCGAGGGGGTTTGGCAGGTTGCATCGTTGGCTTGAACATGGCCAGAAGACATGTGTTCAGTTGTCAGCTGCACTAGACTCGGCTTTGCTTCTGCCCGTTTGCAGATCTCCTTCGAGAGCAGCGGGGTCTTCTCCTCCTTCGACTCTTTTGCCCCTTGCTGGAGTTGCTATTTTCGCTGCTTTCATCCAGACAGCCTCGTAGCCAAGGCACTCTTCGAGAGCACCGAGCTTGGATTCCCTCTGGGGAGTAGACGGCTCTGAAATCCGACTCTCGGTCGAGGTCTGACCATCCTCTTCATCTGGCTGCAGGTTCCGCTTGGGGCTCATGGCACCCTCAGCCCCGACTTGTAAATCCAATCAAAAAAATTACCACGGAGTGCGCAGCCCGAGGTCGCTCATCATCTACGTCATGGCTGCGTTCATGCTTGGCACCCTCTCCAAGGTCTATTCCAGCGTGCGAAGCTCAGGCGCAGGAGTTTCCTCTGCCTGGGGGCGTTGCTTTCCTAAACCCTAAACCCTAAACCAATAAGGTGATGCACCAAGAAGGCGGTCTCATCGGCACCACCGCAGGCGTGCTGGGACAGAGAAGTTGTGGATTGTGGATCCATCTTAGCCTATGGATTCGCAGGCATTGCGGCGCGTCTGCTGAATTGTCCCCTCCTTGGAGTGTCTGCCTCCAACCGCCTGCTTTTGTCCGCGGATTCGGTTGCTGAATTTCTGCTATTAGGTTGCAACATGCCTTGCAATGTGAGCATGTTGCAGGATCTACTGCCGCCATCTGCCGCCGCCAGGGTTCGTTGCAGAAGCTGAACTAGCAAGCAAGCATCACCAAGATGCCGGTAGCAGCCCATCAGGCCCCTGTTAGCTCGGCCGTCGATCCGGTGGATGTCGTCGTACGAACACGAAGACAGAGACTGAGACTAAGACTACGGCGTGACTAAGTACTATGCATCATCCTCAAACTCATACGCATACTCGTACTCAGATCCATACATTAGGTTTCCGCTTTCCAGAAAAGATGGGGAAGCTCGCTGAATGATGTGGCGACTGCGAGATCTCTGGAGTCTTTGGCCGTCTCAGATGAAACGCTATGTGCTCCTTGGTCATTCTTTGGGTTCAGGGTTTTAAGGTTCAGCGTTTCCGGCTTAGAGGTCTTGCTTAAGGGTTTTGTTGGGCTGCAGAGGGTCTTGCAGGTTTTTGTTACAGGGTGTGGGGCTTTGAGTTTGACTTTTGATGGTTAGGGGTTCCGAATAGTTAACAAGGGAGCCCATGAGAAACAAAAAACACAGCTTGTCTTTTGGCCCAGGATAGGTCTCGGGACGATGGAGATCGTCGCTGCTTCCTGCGCTGTCGCTCTGGTTATGATGACCGTAACATACTATGCAGCTTGACGGAGATTCAGGATCACGCCTAACTAGTACACCGGTTGATCAGTGAACTCTTCCGCGCTGTGTTGCTGGGTTCAGGCTTTGTTTTGGTGGGCATTGTTTTAAAGATATCCGACTTCGTCCCTTGACCCGAGGTTGCCATTTTTGCCAGAAGATATGTGCACACAGACCCTGCAAGCTATGCCCAGAACATGTCGGAGATTCTTTGCACGACAGCCGGCGGCACTTCGATCCTTCCGAAAGCCCTGCCCGGCAAAATCTAAACCCCTAGGGGCTTAGGGGTACCGAGTGCTGCTTCAGCCGAAGCCCGACACCCACAGCAGCATCAAACTGGCTCCAGGATCGGGTATGCATCCTTGGTGTATCAGCTACATTGGCCCGCGCACTTCGCGGCTAGCATCAGCTGCCTTTCCCTGCAGCTAGGTCTCGCGACTTGGCCTGGGAACTGCCCTCGAGAACGGGGGTCCTGCTGCATAAGCTTCCGAAAACGCTTGCAGCCGTCTTTGGCTCTAGATTGGGCTAAGGCTTGACTCTGGCATGTACGTTATTGATGTGAGGTTCCGGAAAATAGCATCAACACGTATAGAACATAATCCAATCGTCGGATGTTTAGCTGGTCTTAAACTTCTTAAACCGTAAAAACCCGGCAAGCCCCATGAACCCCCGAAAGACCTGCTAACCCCAACTACCTCCACGCCCACAAGAACCCTCATCACCCTGAATCGCCCCAAAACCCTAAACCCTAAATCCCTCAACCCTAAAGCCCTAAACCCTAAAGCCCTGAAGCCCTAAACCCTAAAACCCTAAACCCCTAAAGCCCTCAAGCCCTAAAACCCTCAAGCCCTAAAGCCCTAAACCCCAAAAAACCGTCTTTTCCCGCAGCGGTTAGGACTTCGGAACCCCGTGAGGTGAGCAGCGGCCTGGAACTGGTGGGCTTCGCTCTGCACCCTCACCCCTACGAAGCTTGGTTTAGGGTTTAGGGCCAAAATTTTGGCTTTAGGGTTTAGGGCCAAAGTTTAGGGTTTAGGGTTTAGGGCCAAAGTTTAGGGTTTAGGGTGGGGGCTGTTCTACAGTGTGTTGCTAGTTGTTGGAATCATGCTGTGCCAGACCTCTTCTTAAGGCTACTTGTGTGTGTGTGTGCAATGTTATGTTGCGACTTATCAGGGTTGGGGCTTACTACGCTGATGAGAGGGACCCAGCCGGAGTCGCGAATATGAAGAGCAAAAGTGCAGGGTATGGGGCAAGTATTTGTTTTTGCTTGATGCACAGGTCTGTGGCAAACGATGTCGGTGGAGTTTGCTGTATGTAGTCATCAAGAGCTGCTGAGGATTGCTATGTGCCGGACCGGGGTGTGCTGGGCGGAACGGTGCTTTTCTTGGCATTGACTGCCTCGCAGGCAGAGCTCGTCTGCACCTCCAGGAAAGCTGTCAGATGCTGTTTGCATGCAGGTGGTGTTGACACTCTGGGCATCTGTGCAGCTGCAGCGCTGGAGGAAAGCCCCGGGCTCAGTCTAGAATCGTCGGCATGTGTTTGAGCTGTATTGCTGTGCGGTCAGGAGAGCACTTGGAGCCTCCTGGTTTAATGTGCTCTGGCTTAAGGTAGCTGCAGCAGATGATTCTCAAGAAATGCCGCGGCTCGCCAGGGAAGGTTGCAGCTCGTGATCACGATACACGTCTGGTCTGTCCTGTGCTTGCATTGCTTCAAGGTGGCGCCTGGTACTGCTGATTGTGGGCATTCTGTTTGGCCTCTCGATGGTCAGCAAGGGAGCGACCTTGCCGAGTTCATGATGGTCGGGAGTCGGGAGATGTTGAGACCGGAAGGGATGGACGGGTCATTGCAAGGCTGAGTTGTTCATCCCTCGGAAACACGTAAGGATTGTGGCTCGCCTCTAGGCGACGCAGTTTGGTCGGCTGCTTATGCGATCGATGACATTGTCATGGTTCCTCAGCATCTCGCCCTTACTCAGCATAGACGGGCATTCCTCGCGCGACTCTCAGTGCTGCCCGGTGCAGATGCTTTGATACTTGCCAAGGATTTGGCTGGTGGCAAAGCGGAAGGAGGCCCTTCGGTGCACACGAGAGAAGGACTCCCCTCCAAGCTGCCTCAAGTCCCCGAGGGCTGACAGAGACGACTGACAGGGAGTTCAGTGATCAGGAGTCGGCTTGAAGATTCAGCAACATCGGCCCCTTCAGGTGCCCATGCCCCTGGCGACTCTGGTTCTCTTCACTTGGAGACTTGGCCCAGAATTCTTGAGGTAGTACGAACCAGGTGAGGGCGCAGTAGCTCGGCGCAGTTTGTTGGCAGAATGTGATGTCCGATGAGGCTGGCTACGTTGATTGAGCTGTTGGCTGACTTCATTGGCATGCAGTCCAAGCTGCTAGCAGGCTCACAGCACCTCAGCCAAGATCAGAGTTATTTATGCATACACGGCATATCACGGCATACATACATGCATGCTTACATACATACATACATACATACATACATAGATAGATACATAGATACATAGATAGATACATAGATACATAGATACATACATGCATACATGCATGCATACACACATGCATACATACATACACACATACATACAGATAGACATACATATTCGGTGCAGCATATTCAGTGCGGTATGAGCCGTCATGTAACAGGGTTGCCCCCCCGAGGTTCGCAAGCAACTGCTTCATGTATGCCTGGAACGACTTCTTGTCACTGGTAGCGCTCTCAGCTTGAATTTGTGCTCGCCTGGCCAGTCCTCAGCTGAGATTTTACACCAATGGGATGTGTTGCAAAAGTTCGCAAGAGTCGTGAGGCCCATACTCACGGCCAATGGCTAAGCCATGCTATGCCTGAAATGGACATGATAGCTTAATCAGGCTTAATTATAGCGATTGGTGATGACATCCCCTACAGTAGCCTCTATAGCTACACTTTAAAGTCGCCCCAAACCACATTCCAGAAGTCAAAGATTGAGGCATTAAGGCTCCCACATTTACTATGATGCCTGAGGCAATCTCCGCAGATTTCGCCTACTGGTATGCTGCTTGTCTCTGGATTCGCAGCTGCTTTTTGATTTTTTGGGTTTAGGGGGGAGTCTCTTGACCCGGAACCAAGGTGTACTCCCTCATTTGCTATGATTCCGGCGTCAACTTACTCAAGCTGCCAGTGTGACGTTTCGCCTCTACATGACTGGTCCGAGCTCTCGGTCCGCGCCGTGCAGACGTGTACATGGTCAGGGTTGGTGGCCGCCAGAAGCCTCCCTCTGACGCGATTGCTGCGAAGTCCTGCCTTTTGGGATCAGACGCACAGGCAACGGATTGGGCCGGATTGGGGACAGCTGCGTGATGTCGTGGCCCGTCTGCTCAGATTCACACTAAGCCCATTGCAGACAACGGCGTGGTGGTCTACTTGTACAACAACTCCGCTGAAGAATCCATCGCCGAAGGTTTGCCGGCTGAGCGAGGGAGCCAGGCAGCAGTCCTATGCTGAACACCGCCGAGCACTGGCGCTGAATTTGTCAGCATAAAACAGCAGCGTGAAGCATCGTTTCGCTGCTCTCCGGCGTATCTAAAAAAGAGAGTCTCCTACTTGTACGGCTGCTCACGCCATTCATGTTGGCGCCTCGCGACTCGTAAAATGGGCGCTCGGATCCCAAATTCTGCGAATGAACTCTCCCACCTGCTGAGATAGCTCGACGTACAATGACCTGCGTGATGACCAGGTGCGGGGTGCAGTTTCTGCATGTCAGCGAAACGCATGAGAAGAACTCCACTCCTGCAGCATTTGCTGGTGTAGCGACTCTAGGTTTGTTTTCGTCGAGGTTGTGTGGCTTTTCAGCCGAGCTCTAAAGGCATACAATGTAATTACCCATAGGCCCCTAAGTAGTTCCTTTTTATGGTCTACATTTAGAATAAGCCCAAAAAGGAACTACTTGGGGGCCTACGGGTAGGCTGTATCGAGCCTATGGAACCGCCTATTCCCCCGATCCATCGGCTTGAACCTCAGGCCTCGACTCCAGGCCTCGAAGTTGGTGCCGACGACGACGACGACGACTACTACGACTACTACTACTACTCCTACTACTACTACTACTACTACTACTCCTACTGACTACTAAGGCTTACTAAGGACTACTAAACTACTGAGTGGCGGGTTTTATCGATGATAGGCGTCGTGCCTCCGGGTCCCAGCTAGAACCATCGAATTGAGGCAGGAGCACTCTGTCTAACAAGCCCTTTGGTGAAACTATGAAGCAGCATCTTCTTTGTTGCTTGTCTATCCCTGGGGCTCCAGTTATCTAAATAGTGGGTTACTAACCATATATTGTGTACCCCAGCAACCTACTATTTAGGTAACTGGAGCCCTAGGGTATTGGAGCCTATATCTGGATGCAGCAGCCTTCTTCGCGCATTTGAGTTGCTTGAGCGTCCGAGACTTCTGCAAGGCGTCTAGCTTCCCGTAAGCTGCAGTATTCCTGCGAACGCTGGCTGCTCGAGTCTACAAAGCCCCCAAACGAGTGAAGTTCAGAGGGCCGAAAACGCTGTACCTCTCGACAGCATGCCGTGATTTCTTGACAGGGTGTGACGAAGCAGCGAATGGCAGCTACCCAAGATGTCTTGCCTTGAAGGCTTGTGAGAGAACTGTTGCGATGATCAACATGCTGTCATGTGCGTGATGTTCTAAGTTGCGGCGCTTCAACTACATCCTTGCTCACGAAGAAGACTTGGACGAAAACGAGCGTGAAAAGCCTTCCTCTCGGCAAGATGGTGCTGTTGCCTTGCATGTGGCTGCAAGACAGCCTTTGCTTCAGGTTCGTGGATTTTGTCTACAAAAGCATCCTGTCAACCGTGTCTTGGCAACTTGAAGCGAGCCGACCCTTCCTGCAGCCGGGAGCTAGGTGTCCTTTTCGACCTCGCACCTTGCCAGGGTGGCATGGATGCGAAGACATCCCACTGCGACATGCTCTCTTTCTGCCGATGGCTTGGTGGGGCGGCAGGTTGCCAAAATGCGAGCGTGCGGGGGGAGAGGACGGGGGGGGGGGTCTGGGGGCCGATGTAAGGTGTGGTCTTCATGGTCGTGGCAAGGTTTGGTCCGTCTTCTGGGTGTTTCTGAACTGGTCAGTGATGTTGGCTGCAGCCTATGAGACTCGTGTGAGAGCAGGTCTCAATGGAATGAACAATGCCGCTGTGGTTGGTAACTGATGCTAGAGCAGGAGTGATGAATTGCAGCTGTAAGCACTTCAGACACATGTATGGATGGAATAGTTCAATCACCCAAAACTCTGCACTCCAGCCCCGGCTTGCTCGCTCTACTTCGGGGTCAACCCGCACACCCAAACTCTACCTCTTAAAACCGTACCACGTCCCTTTACCCTAAACTGAAGTCCTGCTTACTGCCAAGTAGAATCTAAAGGTAAGCTTTGGACTTATGAAAAGTGTGTGTGTGTGTGCGTGTGCATCATGACAAGCATGGCTATCGATGTACCATACCTTTTTGCCTCGGTTTTTTGAACTGCAAAGTGTGTTATCGTTGCTGTCGCTGCGGCAGCCCTAATCCCTAAAAGCCTAGAGCCCCGTAGCCTCAAACTCCAAGCTTCACAACCCTATACGAAGCCGTCGCTAGTGGCAGTAGCAGTCGTCGTCGTAGTGGTAGTAGTCGTCGTCTCCTAAACCCTGATGCGCAAAACAGTATCAAGGGCCCTCACCCGAGGCACGGCCTGCGCCAGTGGTGAGCCTCTGAGCTTCGAGGAGGGGCCGGGGGGAGGGGGAGAGGGGGCCTTCTCCTTAACAGGGTTTCAGGGTTCATCGATTATAGTATAGGGTTTGTTGGGGTTGAGAGTCTGGAGGTTTAAGGTCTATAGGGAGTTCAGAGTCGGGGTTTTCTCGCCCGAGTTTCGGTTTTCAGGTCGAGGGTTCGGGCAGCTCCGACAATCCTGGTAGGATTGGGAGCCGACTCAATGGTACTTCAGTTAAATGTAAGTGGGCAGGGTGTAGCGCGAGGCACAGCAGCGTTACGGCAACTGTGCTTACAGGGTCGGGCCTGGCATGACACTCACCTTCAGACGTGCCGGAAGTAACTTGCGAATGCACCTAAAGCCTATACAAAGTCTTGGTTTCGATGGTCGTGAAACGAGCCATCATGATTAGGTTCACAATGGTTTGCAAGGACGACAGGGAACAGGCTCGCACGATGCTCGGCCTAAAGAGGGAGGTGACCGATGACGCTAGCAATGTCAACGAGTATATCCAGACTTTGATATTCATGGTGATGACGCTGGCTATGGTGATGAGGAGGGAGCAGCACACTGATGGCAAAACTGCTTTGAACGCTTAAAGATGTCGCCCCATGCGCCAGATCCTGCAAGCCTTCTTCAATCGCAAGAAGCGGGTCGGCCTGGTCAGGAGCTCAGACATGCATGTGTATTCAGTAGCCCTCTCGTTGCCGTCCCACTTCACCTGCGCGTTGAGAGACAGCCGCTCCGAGGTCGAACGGGTCTTCCAGGATCGAAGCATCTCCGTCAGACGCTGAGGGCCTTTCTATCGCTTCCTTGGGGCTGGGAGTCCTGCAAGTGTCGGTTTCCAAGGCCATTCAGAGTGTGACGGAGTCTCAGCTCGACATCACGGATTCAGGCAGCTCGAGCATGCTTACTGTAGCGCTTTGTTCAACACCTGTACAGTCAAGGTTTTTGTCGCAAATGATGCGAGACCTCATTCAGTCTCAATTGCAGGTAACTACTGTGCGGCAAGCCTATTTGCTGGAGCGTTGCTCAAAGATCGTTTTGGCCATGTGCTGTCTCAGCCTTCCAGGCATTGTAGACAGAAGGCAATAAGACGATGCGAGACCGTGACGGACACTGCAATTTGCCCCTGTGAGACACTGTAGAGTAGAGGTGGCAAGTAATCTCCTTGTTTTATCTTGTTTTAAATTAGAGGCCTCCGTAATGTTGCCGCGCCCTTGTTTCTCGCTGTGCCAAGAAAGCTTGGCTTGCAGGTGACGCCGAGCCCCTGAAGGACAGACGAGTGGGTCCTTGCGGTGCTGACCCTGCACCTGTTTGCAACAGATTGTGACTGTGGTCGACAACCCTACACATTGGATTGAAGCCTGCAAATCTCAGACCCTAGACACCCTTCAAACTTTCCTTTGGTCAGGATGCGGCGGCACCGTTTGGTGGCCCTGCAAGTGCTCGGACTCAGTTGGATTTTCGCAATTTTGCTCAGCGTTCTGCTAGCTGCGGAAGCCTGCTGCATAGCAAACTCAACATGATTGCTGCATAGCCGAAATTACTTCGCTTCTGCGAGTGTCGCACGTGAGCAAGGCCAGTCTGGAAGCGGGTGCCGAGCTTAGTCTTACTTAGTATGCGGGTGTTGGAATCTGTGTGGTGGGCACCTGCTGCGGATTGCTCATCCTTCAGCTCTCCGTAATTGCGGCAGTAGTCAGTCATGGAAACAGATGCCGGAGATAGCAGTCAAGAGCAGATTCATCTCCCCGACCCTACCACCCGCTCTGTGTCATCCTTAAAATGGTCAACCGCGATCGTTGCCGCAGCAGTTGTAGTGGTGCTACTCAATGTTTCAATTTTATGGGGGGCGTGAGGAGGCATGCATAGCTAGTAACCTTAAACCCTAAACCGTGTCCTTGGTAATCGCGCCTGGTCGTGCACTGCGTCACCATGATTACGAGGTCTCGGCTCGGAGAAATCTTCGCCGAAAACACCAGAATGCAAGAGCGTGCTCTGCTGAGCTTCACCCGGTCCTATGTTTGAGAGTCAGCGTCTGGTAGGAGAGTTTTTATGTGTGTGTTTGTGTATGCATGTTGGTATATGATATATGTAAACCACTTTTCTATCACGGTTACGACTTTCACCATTGAGGCTGTGCCGAAGTCACGGAGAGCTTGAAGGAGACATTGAAAGTGGACGGGCTCTCAGATTGTCAATGACAGAGATGGGGCTTTTGGACCGTGCACGTTGAATCATGCTATATGGGCAGTTCTCTGAATTAGGGTTCTCTGGCATAAGGGTGCCATACTAGTGTTGGGACCTAAAACGGGACCCTAATCTAGGGAACTACCCATATGCCAACGTGATCGGCAGGTCATTGCTGTTTGCCTTGAGCGGTAGACTCTGAACTCCGATCCATACTCGTGGTGATTCCTGATTCAACTTACTTGAGAAAATGACTTCTTGATTGTGGCTTGGGGTTTAGGGTTTAGGGTTCTAGAAGCGCGAGCCTCAACCGCCTCAACAGTTACCGTAGCATTTTGGGACCCACCCCGTGAACATCGGTGCTGATGCGGACTATACGCATATACTTGGTCATTCCCCAACCGCCTTGTTTCTTCACACCTTGCCAATCCCACGGAGTTTGATGCTGAAGCCCTTGTGACCCCTGCAGCAACATGTGATGTGTGAGATGCAGACACGCACCATGCTGGCTCCTAATTGCGGGATACAGCTGGTATTTGTTCGACCAATCTCGTCTGAACAGCACTAGCACAAAACATATATAGGTCCTAACACCTAGTATGTTGCGAATCTTGAGTCTACCTTGTGAGTGTTTTTTGCCATGCCAGTCTTAACTCATTCAACTTCTTGTTTTTATTTCGTAGGCTGCCTTGTTACAGCCAATTTCTTTCATTTCCGCCATCTGTACCTTATTTTCACATTGTTTAATTTAGCATGCTGAAATCGAATATTTGAAGATGCCCTCGAACCTTCAGCCTGTATGCGGCAGTTACTCTTATTCAAAGTTCTACTCGTACCTAGAGTCGCTCAATCGAAGATTTGAGTTTCCTGGCGCAGTGCTTTTGGAACCGTCGGCTCGCGCTCTTGGATTGTAGGTCATTTAGACTTATCTGTGTTCGTTGTTTTCGGGGCGTGATTCAACATGTGTAATTTGAGTGTGTTTGGGAAAACTTTATCAGAAAGCTTCTGTCCTCATTCTTCGGCTGGCCGTCTTCGAACGGTTGTCCTGAAGGTAAGTTAAGTTCACGTAACGATTAAAGATTCTTGACAAAACCCTGTCAGGCTGTCAGGTATCTTCGATCGATCATCGTCGGTTGTGCGCCTTTAAGCGAAGATCTCGTAAACAAGCATACAGGTGTAAGGTTCGGTTTTCGGTTGGAAGTCTGCCAAGAAAGCTATGAAGATCAAACAAAGGCAGCAGTAACTTGAAGATATCTGAGAGATCTGCAACCTTCCGGTTAAACACGAACTTGTAGAGCTCTAAAGGTGACATACAAAATAGCATCAGTTAGCTCATCAACCAGCCAACCCTTCCCTGGATCTGCCTTGCAAGACCTTCATACCTTCGAAGTCATTTTCAAAACCAGGGTTTAGGGTTGAGGGAACCCTAAAGCCTCAACCCTAAACCCCAAAATTGCTTGTTCGATTTAGGTTTAAACCCTAAACCCTAAACGTTGGCACTTGCCTTCTGCAATGCAGATTCCCGAGCTAGGAGTTAGCAGACGGAAAAAGGCCCTCAAAAAAAAAACCTTAAACCCTAAACCCTAAACCTTAAACCCTAAACCCTAAACCTTAAACCCTAAACCCTAAACCCTTAGGTTTCGGAATCCGCGGGCTTTTTCGGGAGGAAGATCTTGGCCTCAGGCATCCTCCGTGACGGAAGAGGATGCGACCACCCGGCTGGAGATCTACCGGGACGAGGCCTGGGCTTTAATGTAGGTGCCTTAAAAAATAGTTATATAGAACAGGGTTCATGCTATAGTTCCCTGAACTGCAATAAGTAACCCCCAAGGAATAGTAGGGGTACTTATACTCCTGGTTTGGGTTTTGGGGTGCTGGGTTCAGGGGGAGAGCGGTCTGACGTGCTCGACTCTGCCGTCTCTGGACCGCTGCAGGTCCAGAAGATCGGAAAATCAACCAAGATGTCAGCGTCAAGCTGTGCGAGTTTACCTGGACTTTGGGATCTTGCCTTGTGCCTGCGTGCTGACTGTGTCTAAGCAAGATGCCACTGCTGCCAGGCAGACTCTGGCGGCACGGGCCCTGGAATCGTGAGGGATTTGAAGTCGGAATTCGGAATGACAGAACACGTAGCAGAAGAAGGCCAAGTATTTTTACATAAGTATTTAATCACATTTATACCTCTTGCCGGCTCTGACAGGAAAGCAGCCGTTGTACTACGAAGCAGCAGCGCGACAAGCGAGAAACGGCCTTGGAATTAGCTGGTTCGGCTTGTCGACCCGCAAAACTCAAAAATCTCCTAGACCTGACCCTCCACACCCTCCGTTAGTGCAGTATCCTAACCTAAGCCCGGAACGCCCCTAAACCCTAAACTCCCTAAACTCCCTAAAAGCTCTAAAGGCCCTAATTACCTGACTCCGACGAGCCCTCCTCAGCGCTCCGAGGACGGAAGCATCTACGAAGGGGAGTGGGTTGGTCCTGTCAGGCTGGCTCCTTGCAGCCTTAGAGCTCCTAAAGTGCTGAGAGCTTGAAGTCAAAGTACACGCCCTTAAATTAGGGTTTAGGGTTTTAGGGTCTAGGGTTTAGGGTTTTAGGGATTAGGGTTTAGGGGCACCTTCCCGAAGGTCTGCAAGCGACCACAGACCCTCTCAGTTAGTTGTTGGCTCTTGCATGTCGTTGGAGGCACGGCAGAGGCGTGCTGAAGCTCCCAGACGGCTCATCGTACTCTGGCCAGTTCGAGCATGGTGTCGTCTCAGACTCAGCAAAGCAGCACTGGAGAGGGGACCAGGAGACCCAATGCCATCATGGCTTGCAGGTGCATGGCTTCGCAGCATATACTTTACCCACGGGTGCCAAGTACGAGGGTGAGCAGGGAGCTTGGCCTTCATGGCGCAGTCCACATCCTATACTAACACTGTATGCTCACCCTTGGAGCTCTGAGGTGGCGGCTAGGAAAGCAGGACGGAGAAGGCAGCAAGATGCTTCAGGGAGGAACGGTCCGCGAGATCGTGAAAACCCGCCTGCACGATTCTCTTTGCAGGCCGGGAGATAACTGCTGAGGGCGCCATCTACCAAGGCCCGGCCATCTTCAGAGCCCTCACAGTTATCCGAATTTCTGACCTGCTTGCATTGCATGGCTGTGCAGTTGAACGATTTTGGGAACTCTTGAGGCCAGTACAAAGATGGTAAGAAGGAAGGGCGCGGTGCCAAGCTGCTTTTCTTCTTGGTCATCCTCTTTGTCTTTGTCTTCCGAGCGCTTCGATTCGACTGGCGTTTCGTATAACATCAACAATAGTCTTACAATAATACTTAATCATCAGAATAGGTATAGTTATAGAGCAGCATAGCAGCAGTGAGATTGCTAGAAGTATTGGTACTAACAATACTGTAGCAACTTTCTCAGTGCTTCGTGAGAATCAGCCACCCTTCATCAGTCGTTTAGGCACGCCCGCATCTCCTATCCGGACGGCTCCAGCTTCGAGGGACAGGCTGCGTCCGGTTCCCGTTGAAGGGTTCCTGTAAGGATTGCCAACATATCTGGGAAGCCCCATGAGAAGCCTGATGAGCACGATGTGTGTGTGTGTGTGTCTGTGCAGGTTTCTGACGGCAAGCTGCACGGTCTGCACCTGAAGATCTGATGAAATCGAGCACTGTCGAAGGAATGGCAGCATGCCGCTCGATTGTCACAAGGTAAGGGCAAGTACGTGTGGAGCAATGGCCACTGTTACGAAGGCCGGTCAGTTCGCTGTTCTTCGCTGCTTCTCAGCGCATTCCATGTTCTCCTGTCAGCGCCGCAACTTTCCTCATCCTGTATGCCCGAGCCTATCCCTAAAACCTAAACCTTAAACCCTAAACCCCAAACCCTAAACCCTAAAACCCTAAACCCTAAACATCCAAAGCCTTATAAACCCTAAACCCTGGCTGCAGGTGACTGGCAAGATGACATGATGCACGGCGATGGCGTCGCGAGCTGAGACGCAGATGGGATCAGCCTGGCTTTTCTGCTTGTTTGCCTTTCCTGCCTATCATCGTCGGGGTCCACCATAGTTGACACGTTCCATTAATATTATTCTGATAATATTATAATATATATATATAATATAATATAATATTATATTATATTATATATATAATACACATTATCATGCTTCAAGAACGATTCGCTTGCGGGCATCTCCGGCTTAAACGCTCCGTACATTTGGGCAAGTTTCAATTCACACGCGCAAGACTCCTACTGTCTGTGGCTCGAACTCCGGTATCCGGGCGCACTCGCACCGAAACTTCGAGCCAAACTTAAAACCTGGACATCTAGAAGCGCAAGAACCTTAAGCCCTAAGGAACCCGAAGAGCTTTAAACTGTGCTTGCTTGAGGTCTACACTTGGCCAACCGGGGTGAAGTTCGTCGGGCAGTATCAGAACAACTTGAAACATGGTGCCCTTCTCACCTCTCAGGATAGGTGAGGGGTTAGGGTGCACTGGTCAAGGCGAGTAGGATTTAGGTTCAAGGGTTTAGGGTTCAGGTTATATATTGTAATCTGACCCATATTTTGGGAGAGTTCTTGTTTAACCACTTGTCTGCATTAATCTTTGTCGAGCCAGGCAGGGGTCTGGACAAGGATTGGATCGGCTGTTGGGTGCTTGTGGGCCTTTGAAAAACCTTTGGGGAGAGGGAACAAGGCCTCTAGAAGGTTCTATAATCTTCATTTCTCGAGTTACAAGGGGTTGATTAGAGTTACACGTAGATCTAGGGTCATCATGGGACAGTATTAAATTGCTCCTTAAACCCCCATGGCTCCTCGTAGAGACCCAAATCTCCAGCCACAAATCCGGAAACCTAAGCGCCAATCCCAATGTGCGGGCATGTTCCCTCAGCCTCAAATAAACTTACCAATCCTAAAGCTAGGTACATCCCAAATCCCAAACACACATGTGTGCCTGGCTTAAATGTTTCGCTTCTTTCCCTGGTAGAGGTACAGGCGTTGTACACTTTCCCGACGGCCGGACGGTGGAGGGCACGTGCGCCGGACGAGGGCATCGTCAAGCTTTGGGGGCCGGGGAACTGTCTTCGTATCACCTACCAATGAAGACGCTGGTGATTTCTGCCTAGTCATACGCAGACGCACACAAAAGTTACGAGCATGCGGACACACGCCATCGGGCATGGCAGTGGAAGGGGGTACTTCGGCGATCCCTAAGATGCCAGAGGCCTAGGACTTGCTGCATGTAAATGCAGGTTGAGGCCTTTGCGAAGCAAGTCGATGTGCTGGTTAGGCAGACAAGCTTGATTCAGGTACGAGGCAGGCACGCGGCAAAGCACCAGCGGCTGATGAATTGATGAGAGAGTATGGAAAATCATATTCACGTCTCTGTATACTGGAGTTTGGGAGTTACAGATGTCTTTTCCCATTGGTGCAGGACAGCTTTTTGGATTCGGTTAGGCATTCACGGTTACTCCTTCCCAGAGAACATTGCTGGGATCTTAGTCTGCCGGCAGCGAAGTTGCTGGCACAATTAGGGCAGCGTTTCACTCAGTCCATGACAATAGTCATAGGAGCTGCTTCACCTACGAGGAATAGATTCACCATTTACCTCCCAGCACGTGGCGAAGCCCCTTGCCAGCAGAAGCTGCGCAGTTATACTTAAGGGAACACACACACACACATATATATATATATGTACATAAGTGGCCCTTTTTGTGCCCGTGTCGAAACAGTAGCAGATATATGCCTTAAACCCTGAACCCCTAAATCAAAACCTTCACCCGCCAGCCTAAACCCGCCCTAAACCCCCCAAAAACCCCAAACCCTGAACCCTAAACACCAAACCCTAAAGCCCTAAACCCCCCAAACACCCCTCAACCCCCCGTCCGTGCTCGACACCTGGGAAGCCTAGGGGAGACCCAGGCCCGGCCTCAGCTCGTGCCGAAGCTGCCCAAAAAGGAATATGGGGGCCTTAGGGTTTAGGGTTTGGGGTTTAGGGTTTAGGGTTAGGGTTTAGGGTTTGGGGTTTAGGGTTTAGGGTTTAGGGTTTCGGGTTTAGGGTTTCGGGTTTAGGGTTTAGGGCCCAAAAAGGCTTCATAAATGTGCTGCGCAGGGCTCTGGGGTGCAATAAACCCTAAACCCTAAGCCCTAAAGCAACATATAGTACAGAGGTAACAAGAAAAATCATGAGAAGCATCGGGGTTTGAGAGGCTATGCTGTTGCTACTTCAGGCCCCGATTCAACACGCACGAGACTTGCTTCCGAGCTGGGTTGCATTTGACTGTACCTTTCTGGCTATCAGATGTTCCTATATTTCCGTGCAGGAGGTCAACAATCATCATAGTAGTAATCAGAATAAGAACTCTTATATAAGAGTAACAGTAGGAACAACAGTAATAATTAGGAAGAAAACTGGTATTAGTAACAATAGGAACAACAGTAATAATTAGGAAGAAAACTGGTATTGACAGTAAAACTACTCGTGATGATAATGTTGACTTGCGGAAGTTCACCTGCCTGCTTGCTTGCAGCCTTTCTCTTTAACACGAGCCTCGTCTTGCGATCAGAAACGACAGATGAGAAGGTCTGAAAGCAAACATCATCGTCTCAGAGTCCTCCAACTGACTAAACAGTTGCCACACATTCGCATGGGAGGTGTGCCCACGCTTGCGTTCCCCCGCACCATGGAAATCGACTGAGTGGGGCCCGCAGGAGGTGCTTCTGGGTTGCTGATTCGACCCTTGAGCAATTCTAAGGTGTCCTTCCTTCCGAACTTAAAGTCTATCACATGGCTGATCTTGTTCTCGGTTGTCTTCGATTCTACGGTATGTATATCATATGTAGGAAACTCTGTGTGCTGAATCTGCTGCGAGTTGATGGGATGTTTAGGTTAGTGTGTCATACCGTGACACTACGTGGCCACTTCCTTGCCTGTTGAAAAAGTTGAAGAGCTTGCAGGCTCCCAGCCTTCACGTATTGAGTGCTACTAGCCTGCAACCGCCCCTGGAAGGGGGAGGTCTGAAGGGTAACTGCTTGTGTTTCTGCAGCTTCGGCTTAGAGTTCGAGACCGATTGGTCGCAAGCTCCGGCCTCGGGTTCTCCGTTGGGCAGATGTGATAGCGAATGCCTCTAACCCGGATGGATGGATGGATGGATGGATGGATGGACGGCACGCAGGGGACGGCTGCCAAAGGAAACCTTCCCCTCCGCCATCTCAGGGAGCCTCCGCAAGCGTCATCGGCAGCCCTCCGGCAAAGGTTCGAGGTCCCTGACTGGCCACCCCATGCAAGCATCCATGAACTCTCCGGTGCCCGCACAGACGCCGAAGCGCACAGGCCAGACAGCAGTGGGTCCTCGAACTGGACGCAAGCACAGGGGCCAGTAGTGAGTCCACACATCCTCCATTCACACCCTGCACTCTTTAGGCAAAGCCCAGGAATTCACGACCAATGCCCGGAGTGAGTGCACCACAACAGTATGGGCTGCGAGGACGCGCCTGCTTGCAACATTGTGCCAGCAGGCTGTGGAGGCAGCCAGAGCCTCTAACCCTGAATGGGTTCGAGGAACCTTCAACAGCGTGCCTGTCGACAGCAGCCTGCAGGGACGGGCGCTTCTGGCGCGCTGTGCGCATCACTGCAGCTACTTGCCCGCTTTGCGTCTGCCTTCGCAAACCGAGCTGCATGAAGGTTTGCGAAGGCAGACGCAAAGGTAGTGCGACGGCATTGCGTGCCTGCAGCTGCAGTACTGGCGGGCTGGCACCGCTGCAGCGAGTACGACCATAACTGGAGGCAACCTTACATTGGCAGGGTTTCGCGAAATGATTTGACTTCGCGAAAGCCCGCCAATGTAGGCTTGCCTCTACCGCCACAGCAACGTGCGCTCGAAAACGGTACACGTATTTAGCCGTTGTTTCTCCGCTCACACTACGCTGCAAGGGCCCTGAGATGCTGTAAGTTGTCATTGTTCGGTCGTCAGCATACTCTGTACCCATATGTAGTGCCAAGCAACACTCAAGCACGACTCGGCCAGACTTCCACGCACGGCCGGCGAGAAGCTGTTTCATCCGGAGTTTATGGTACTGCTGTTCGAGCCCTGTGCATGTGGAAGAATGCATCAGCGCACAGAGGCCACATGCCGCGGGGATGTGGCCTCTATTCTCTGTGGCATGACTGATGGAGCACTTACCTTTGCATCGCAGCCTGTGCTTGACCAGACATGCCGGCTCATGCGATGAAGACGTCGCACGTCTAGCACACACGCACATCAGTGCGAATGCAGCTTCAAACGGAAGCGGTATTCCCATCTGAAGCGGTCGCCATCGCCAGGTGCTCGTGAGTCTACGACAGTCTACGGAATTCCAGTGCCGCTTGTTAAGCTGTCCTTTACAGGCAGGTGGCCGTGCCAGCCCCCCAAATCCCCAAACATAGATCCTTCGACCGTGGCGCATCGTGCCGGCAACTACGGGCAGAACGCAGCTAGTTCTTCCATCGCAACAAGCGAGGATAGGCTGGGTCGGCTGTGTATTCAACAGTTTCGTTGTGGTCACCGTCGCTTTGCTGCCACCTGCTTGCATGCAGAGTAATCTGCTGTTTGAAAGACAGTTGCTTCGAGCCTCACTGTGCGCACTGGCGCCGTCACAGCGGGCGGCACGAACAAACTGGTGGCCTTGGAAGCTGTCGGACTTCGCGAAACATGCCGAACAATTGTGTTTGTAATTGCTATAGTTGTTTCTCCTCCACTACTGTACACTACACTTCAATGACTCAATGGCCCTGAGCTGGCACGATCTTGAATTGTCCAGTCCCAGGGCTTGACTGAGTTCACAACAGCCCGCAGTGACAGGCGAGCCTGGACCACTGCCGGGAAAGACTTCAGCATGAAGCATGGCGACGAGCTTCTGGAGAAAAACCTCGGCGCGGTTGCTGTTGAGCTTCCCTGCTGATGTGGAGCCGCGCCATGACATGGTTGCTGTTTTTTTTTTTCCGTGATCCTTTGACCCGGGCCCTGCACGCTGCTGTTGAAAGAAGCTCTGTGGAACATCCTTTCTTATAGGGAGTATGATTTGTTATCGGTATCGGTGTACGCTTCACTGAAGTCTCGTATCAGAGAAGAAACGGATAGAAACGGTGTGTTGCAGGCCTCAGCGTGTGCATGTCGTAAGATCGAATATCACAGCGGGTACGATTTGTTGCGGGCCTCGATGTTTGTTTATTGTGAGATCACATATCACATGCTGGTGTGATTTGCTATTGGCACCGGCGTGTGTATGATGTGAGATCACATACCACAGGGATCCACAGGGGGGTATAATTTGTCGCGGGCATCGGCATATGTTGTGAGATCACACATCGAAGCGGGGCCGATGTGTTACGGGTATGGGGGCTTTTTTGTAGCAGTACTGAAAGCGACCGCAGCGTGTGCACTTTTCTATCGCGGGTGCAAAAAAGGGTTGG